GCCTTTCCTCCTTCTCTTCCTCTGTGTCATCCTATATATAACACATATAAAATTACTACCCTAAATTGATTAATGAGTAGTCCCGACTGAGTCGTTTCCTTTGTCCCTTGTTTCTACTATGAATGTCACATATTGAGTAAAATTATGATGATTTTTATCAGTTATTCTGCGGTTGTCCACGTGCCTTTCGAATTGTCATTTTTTTTCTTGTTTTTCCTTTTTTTCATTATTTTTGATCATCATCAAGAAAATTTTATATTCAAGAAAAATAAATAAATAACAATAAGGAAATAAAATTTTACAATTAATTAAAAGCAATTTCAAAAATTGTTATATTCCAAAATGCCATAATTATCAGAACTATAAACTCTAAAGGTTTTCATAATATCCATTTAGTCATTATATATGTGCATACATATGTATATTAAACATATCCCATGTTTGATTGCTTTACAACTTAAATCAATTTGATTGTATCTTGAAAGATGACCGATCTCATCCCATATCCCTTTTCGCAATCGTCATCAATAAAACGTTAGATGTCTGACCGGTATAAATATTCATGAACAGTGGACATTTTATAATTTATTTGCGATGCTTTCGAAGCAACGCAAGAAGGGGAATATACCACCCCCACTCAGGGTTAACAAACATCATGCGTGCGCACAGTGCTCCATCCTTTCTACATATCTACACAGTTCTCTCGACTATCGCGCCACAACGTGCTTATATATATATATATAGGTATACGTATATATATATATATAGAATGGGCACATAGTTTCGCGGATCGTGAGAATGCCGGAGGAAGTCCTGCGTTCAGCCACGTGCCTCGGGATTTAAACTCAAGGATGCCTGCGACCGTTAGAACTTCCACGAAGGCGAAAGCCTTTACGTAACACAGTGAAAAAAAAAAGAACGGATACTGATCGTCTTCGAGTATATATTTGCGATTCCCAGCGCTATTTCTATCCTTTTTTTCGCGTGTTACGACTAAATAGGTAAAGAATTGGTCACAAAAGTTCAATGTTCTAACACAAAAAATACTATTTCTTTTAAGCAAAATTGTTTTTTTTTTCATCTATTTTATCTTATTTGCTTATTATATATACTTTATTCAACATTCTATTCAACAATTCAAAAATTTCTTTATTAATTATTTAATCTTTATTCTTTATTATTATTTAAAATAATAATGTAATTTCTCACATTTAATTTATCAAAAATATTTTACGTTGTTACATAATTGTCATATATAATAATGTGTTTATATATGACGTATTGGATCACATGTGACGAAAAGGATCACGTGTACATAATTTGTGCCGTCTTCTCCATTTTCACTTTTAAATTTGAATGAAGCCACAGTCAAATACCGAATGGTTGTTCTGACATTCCGCGCACGTTCTGCTTCTGCTTTTTCAGACTTTCATTTAGTCAAACATACAAAATAGAAAGTGAAAAGAAGAATGCACAAAATGCGATTTACACATTCCATTCTTACATTCTGAAGATATCTTTTTTAAGGAAATTCCATTAAATTTAAAAAAAATACATTTATTTCACATAATTATTACTGCATATGCGCAAAAATATAATTTTAACCTACGAGATTTTATATTTAAATAAATATAATTTTTTTCTTAATTCTATACGTAAAAAATGATATTCTTATAAACTCTGTTAACTTAAGAATTTGGTATCAAAAACTTGATTAAATATCTAGCTAGTTCTCATGAAAGCCGCGTCGTCTAGAGATACAGAGATATACTGTGATTGGATACCTTAGCTTGTCATGGAACTCCATCACATCTTTGAAATTTAAACATGGTTATATAATTGTTAATATATTATATTATTCAAATTATAAAAATCTATTTTTTCCTATTTCATAAATTCTATTTACCCTACAAAAATCACGTATATAAATTAACACAATTATAATAACAATTATAATAATTATTTTATGATTTACAACAATATAATCGAAATGATTTTTAGTTTTTAAAATTATATTCTTAAATTTAAACAGTAAGGTTATGAACTCTTTCTTCATAAAAAAAATTTAAAAAAATAAGATTCAATACAGCTGTTCAATCAGCCTCATCACGTGCTAATCGAGCACCAAATCACCGCCAAGTATTATTTGCATAGTTTCACGAATTTTGCTACGTTCACTTTTTTCCACGACGCGTCCTGTATACAGGAGACATTCCACTTAAACGGCACTCCCCTTTTGGTTCCTAGCATTCCCTCGCGACTTAACGCTTCATAACATATTCTCGACTTGTCCTTAGTCGGGAACGTAAACATATGTGCACCTGCAGAAAGTTAGTATATTTGAACAATGAAGATTGCATTGCTAGACTCCATCAATTAGATGCTGAATTACAAGGTATATCAGTTTGCGTTTTATACGAGTTTCTCTTACCGATGTAAAAACAGCTGCGGAGATGAAATGCGCGTGCTTCCTGTATAGCACTGTTGCCACGTGTGTGCCAGAATAAATATGCGCACGCATGTCTCATAACGCTTGTCGTATGAAAAATACGAAAACTGGAAGCAATAAAAAGAAGAATCTATTGATAATTGAGATTTTATTGATAATAGAATAGATATTTAAAAAAGGAACGAGTGATTTTTTGATTAACAAATTGCGAGTTAATCACGTGACTTATCGCTAGTTTTCTTGAGACTTCTATCGCCTTATCTTAATATTTTAATGATGAGTGGAGATTTCTAGGAAATCTTGTTAAGGATAGTAATCATTTTTTGTGCTGCTGAACATCGATACGTCACAAAAAGGAAACGAAATATTGAAGAATAGAATAAAATGTTTATAAAATACACTTTTATATATATGATAAAGATAGAAATAAAGATAAAAAAAATATGAAAATTTTATCAGGATATATTTTTCAAAACATATAATGATATAATGGTAATAATTTTAAAAAATTTCAATTTTCTATTTTTAGTTTCTTGTTTCAATATACATTTCTTTTTTTTTTCTCACTTTTAAGCAATATACAGAAAAAGGAAGAACATGTGTGTATACGTATATTAATGAAGTATAATAGAAAGTTATAAAATGATGTAGCACTTATAGCATGCCACATATATATGTAACTACGACATATATATTCATATGAATTTTATCGTTATCATTACTTTCCATGCAAAGAGATATTTTTTGATATTATATTATTTCTTAATTTATTATTAGAATAAGGTGAAATCAACAATAAAGTTAATATTGATTTCGATGGTTAATCAAGATTAAATCAAGATTCAAAAGTAATTTCCAAAATAATTTCCAAATTAAAATTTTATTCTTAATTCATCATTCTAAAAGATAGTAATTTTTTTTATTATAATGTTCATTCACGAATATAATTATGTTATAAATTCTCTTTTAAACAAAAAATTCATAATTTGCCAATTTAATATTTGGATTGTAAAATGATTAAATTGACTTATTAGTTAAAGTAATTTTTTAAATCATTTGTAGTACTATAAAGATTATAAAATTTAAATAGCAGTAACACATAATGTCTGAATTTTAATGCCAGTTCGATAATAAAAAATAAAATAATCTTCTATATTTTCAATTATATTTACTATTATATCTATTATATTTTCATAAAAATATTAAACATATTAAACTTTAAATCATATATACTGTATATTTACATATTATTTGATTATTATTTTATAATAATTTTTTTATAAATTTGAAAGTTAATAAAATAATTATAATTACAAAAGTTTTGATCTCAAAAAAATTATCAATTTTTAAATATATTGAGTATTACATTCTATTATATTTCAACATTGAAGATCATTATCTTTTATTTTTTCTAAAATTCCAAATAAATATGAATAATATTTAATGATTAATGAATTATGTACATCGTTGGACTGGACGTCACAGCGATGTCTGCAGTTTTGATGGAACAAAAGAGTTAAACGAACGCCGTTTGGCAAAAGTTCATACGATATACATAGCTGTTTGCAGCGGAAACGCGGTCGTGGTCTGCCTGAAACAGTAAACATAACAAGCGGTCGGCCGTTGCGTTTGATTTCTCTATGTAGTCGAATATATAAGAGTACATATACATGTGTACTTCATCTCAAACTGACCGGCTATCGTCGACGAATTACGTCATCCTGCGAACATAAACTCTATAGTGGTTGGAATGTAAATACGCTAAGATGACGAGCCAACTGTTGGACTAATTGCATTTGAGTATTGTGTAACATGAACTCTGGCTTGTTTCTTCCATAAATTTCTTGACTTTTACTACTGAAGTCTGTTTATAGGTTACTATAGTATATCATTTATATCAGTAATGTTTTTTTTTAAGAAATTCTTTAAAGAAATTTCATAAGATTAATAAATAATATTATTTAATTAATTAATAAAGTTAAATTAAAAGTATAGACAAACATATTTGAAATAGTATTTTTGTTGCAACAGAAAATACTAAAATAAAATACTAAAATTTAATGAATAAGAATATTTTTTCTAAATATTTTTAAATGAAATGAATACTATTAGATTCAAATTAAGTAATATTTTTGAAATTTGAGATTAGGAATATTATTTTGGTTGACAGAATTATTATGGATGAGCTTGACTGATGTAAAAAACTTTTTAACATCTACATACAGAAAAAATTATGTTCATTGTATATGATACTTTATGATTAATGGAAATTCTTTTTTGAAAAATAAATTGACTTAAACAAATTTGACTTAATCATATAAACAATTGAGCTTATTGATATACATATTTTTTCTAAAATATTTGTAAAAATTATTTAGAAAATTTTTTTATTGCATCTTTATAAATATTTTATTTATATTTTTTTCAAGTGAATGATTATATATTTTTAATGGTTTCAATATTATATAAATATTATATAAGAGATAAATTAAATTAATCAAGTAAATAGTTTTTTCCTTTTTTTTTTTGCTTAGATAATTTTGCTTTTTCTTTAAGTTTGATTAAAAGAGAAAAAATTAGAAAATAGTGAAAGGAAGAGAGGGTGAGAATGAATAACGACAGGAAATCCTTGAAGACAAAGAAGACGAATAAACCACTAGCAACCACAAAAACTGACACTGGCCAGACTGTGGTCAAGATTGCCTCTTGGTTGGCGGTTTAGGGCAAGGGTGAAGAACAAAGGGGTAACGAGTACGCGATAGTTTCTTTGACAAAGAAGAGGAAGAAACACGCACAGGTCGGATGGTCAGCCATCCGTGATTTCCCGTCTTCATCATTCTACAAAAAAATGGCTATATCCGTTACATGTCGCACATTTGATCTTGTGAATCTCGATATTCATCTTGAATTGTAGTTTTACGTTAATTAGTAATCATCATAAGAAAAAGATAAAAAATTTCATGATATAGGCGTTAAAATCATTTGTGCCATTTGTGTTAACTTTGAATATTTTTAATATTAAAATTAATAAATAACAGATGTTACCATTAATTTGACTTATCAATTTTTTTTATAAAAAAAAAAAGATACTAGTAAATATCATTGCATAGAGAAATGCAACTTTTAGAAATACGAATTTCTAAATTTCAAATTCAATTTTATGATTTCCAAATTATGAAAGGACAATATTTTCTTGTTTTTTTCTTAGATCGCGATCTGGATACGATTCTAGTAGCGGCGGAGAATCTGACAATGAATACAATGCTATTGCTTGTCGTGGAGCCGGTAATCAATCTCAAAATCCGAACACAACAAATGCAAGCAGTCATGGGCAGGGAAAGCATATAAACAAAGGAAGATGGACCAAAGAGGAGGTAATTAATTGAGAATATTCATGTTAAATATTCTAATTAAAATTAATCTTATTAATAAAGTATTTAAATCTTAATTATTAATAACATAATTATAATATAATAAAAAATTTAAATATTAATTTAAATATTTGTTAAATATTTCTATTATAAAATATTTTAAAATATGTTATAAAATATTATAATTTAAAAAAGATAAAAATTTTTTAAATATATTCTAAACTATATTTATAAAAAATATTTTAAAAAGTTCCATAAATTGGTACACATAAATTAGATTATACCAATGATTATAATCATCATGATAAACAATGTTCTATGCTTTTTTTTTTCCTCTTCCTCTTTAACAGAGCTCGATATTTGCGAGAATGTACACGTGACCGCGTCATCATACTATGACTTTGATCAGATGTAACGCGAAAGGGGAGGGATACAATGAGCACAGGCCTCGAAAAAAGGTCCACCCTTCGTACCTTCTACAACGAGTTACGTCCGCGGGCAGATGCCCTCGACCACCCCATAGTCATATGCGTAGCCATAGAGTACGAAGAGCGCCGTATGGTTTCCCGTGGGAAATATCACAGACCTAACGATCCTATGCATTTGTTACATGACCTTTTTTCTTTTTCTTTCTCTCTTTCTTTCATCTCTTTTCTTTTTTTTAATTTGATGCAATTGCAAAATAAAAAGTTTCACAATACATTTTGAAATATTTTCATTATTTCTTTAATTTTAAAGTTTTAGATTTCAAATTATCAATTTGATTTCCACTCGCAACTCCATCTTTATTAGAAATTTTTATTAGAAATCTTTATAGAAATTAACATTGCAATAGTAGTATTAATTTCATGTTCATCTGATCTTTTTTTCTTGTTGTTTATATATTTAATCTTTCTCATAAAGATATTTTTATTGTCCTTTTGATAAAAAAAAAAGTATCCATAAATATTAAAAATTCTTTTCTAAGAGTTATATATCATTATATGAAATATAAATCATCATATTTTGAAAATATAATTCATAACTTATTAACACAATTTTAATCTCCAAAGAATAGATACAATATTTACTTTAAATAGTTTACTTACTTAAAATAGCTTGAACTAAATTATTCACGCGAATTATACTTATCAAGTTTCATAAGTTTTATCAATGTTCAGCGATATAAAATTCAAATACACTTGTTTTAAAACATTTTCAAACTTTAAAGGTTTTGTCATAATTTTTTTTCTATTTATACTGTATATTATATTTTTTATGCATAGTATATATATATGTATATGATTAATGTACTTATGTTCTGTTTCAAATGGATTTCAGGATGCTGTATTAAAACAGTTAGTGAGCAATGCTGAACAACTTGGGACTGGGCTTCGATGGGATGCCATAGCCAGCCACTTTCCAGATCGAAGTGATGTTCAATGCCAGCAGAGATGGGCGAAGGTCGTAAACCCGGAATTAGTCAAAGGACCATGGACAAAAGAGGTATATTAATGGAATTAATGAAGCTAAATTAATGAAGCTTATTAATTAATATATATATTTTTTTAATATTAAGAAACCTAATTTCTATGCAAACTTTAAAAATTTAATATTTAGGATTTCAGAATTTAAAACTAAAATATGATTTTTTAAAATAATAATTCATTTCGAGTTTCGAGAATATCATAAATATCTTGTATAGTAGTTAGATATTAGTATAGATAATAGTAATTGATAATACTATTTTTATCGATATTTAGCGATACTTTATGATTTTATTTGATACTTTATTTGAATATTGTATCATTGAATAATCAATGAAATTTAATCAACTGATTTTCAATAGAGGCCAATCAATCCAAATCAAATGAAAGATCCATTACACACCCTCTTCATCTATCGCGACCAGATCTGTTCAGATAGTATGAAACTGAGAAAACTTTTAAATTAAAAGTTGGATAACATTCTGCAGAATTTTTCCTTTGGCTCAGAAGCTTTTTATTTTATATATCTATTTAACAACTCACATGAATCAGTAGTTAGATTCGATATTGTATTAAAACTTCAAAATCACTCTCTTAAAATATTCTCATAATATTTATAACATATAACACATATATCTCTTCACATGTATTTTAAAAATACATGTCCTACCTTCTATTAGTAAAAAATACCATAAGCTTCCTTTTTTGATCACCAGATGTCTCCAATATTGTAAGCTATAGATTCATTATTAGCGTGAATAATAACATCATAAGCCTAATCAATTTCATCATAGTCAATAAAAACCAAACTTGAACCAAACTCATTTAAAAATGCTTCAAAATTCTTGTTGCCTCACCTCTAAGGGACTAGCGATCAAGTTTCTCCGACTCGTTTAAATTTCGAAGGTTCAAATTCATAACGGCACGGCCCTGCACAGTACATACGCCTACACGTAGCGAAGGCAAAGCTCTCCGTCTGTCCGCTGAGGGTCGCCACGGTGGGGTATGCAATAAGAAAAAGAGCCACGAGAGGTCTGTAGAGATGCTGCATCGCCGTCTTGCCAATGCACTTGGCAACAGCCAAGGGCAAGTAAAGCCTCTGACATCGCCGTCATGGAGGGCCACATTGGTGTGTACCTGATTTTTCATGGTATGGGAGCGTCCTCGGTGCAACCTCCTCTTACTCCTCTGTCTTTCCCTTTCTTTTTCCTCTTCTTTTCGTTCGTTCTTTTCCTCTGTGCACCGACGGTCATCATGCATCGCGTGAATCCTTTTCTCCTTTCCTTTCCGCCGTCTTCTCGACCTACCACTTCGTTCTCTGTTCGATTCTTCTATTTGCTTTCGAGAAATTGCTCCATGAGTTGGATTTGCCTTCCGGTGAGAATTTGTCAACAGAAGACTTTGTTGAAGACGATTTTGGTAACAATCAACAAGATGAGAGGCGCTAGAAAAAACGGCGATTGTTTGGAAGCAATTGATAATGTTTGAATCAGAATGATTTCAATCAATCATTCTCAAGCAATCATAGTTACATATTTATGTAACATAGGCTTATATCAGATAATCAGCGATAATTTTTGCTATTTGGTAATTAGTATTTGGTATTGTTTGCTTGATGGCCTATTGGAAGATTAAAAAATTTTATTCATATATTTGATGGAATTTTAAGGAAAAATTAAAATAATTATTTTTAATACGATTCATGTGATATTGTATCATATAATTGTTACAAATTGGAAGCATATTTTGCGATTAAAGAATCTGGTATTAACAATATAATGATTTTAAATTAATAGAAATTTTATAATTGAAGATTAGCTAATATGAGATTTTAAAATAGGATAATTTATTAAAATAAAATATATGATGTTTTAATTCAGGATATTTTTGATTTTCCATCCTGTTATTGAAAGGAAAATCTTAAGATAATTCTTTTATTATAAACTTTCTTAATATTATTTATTTTTGATAATATTTAGGATAACTATCGAATTTTTATGAATCAATTTCAATATTCTATTAATAATTGGTGATGTTTGCAGGAAGACGAAAAAGTGGTGGAATTAGTGGAACGATATGGACCGAAGAAGTGGACATTAATTGCACGACATTTGAAAGGTCGTATTGGTAAACAATGTCGAGAACGATGGCATAACCATCTAAATCCGGGTATTAAGAAAACAGCGTGGACAGAAGCGGAAGATAGGATCATTGTAGAAGCACATCGCAGGGTGGGCAATCAATGGGCAAAAATAGCAAAATTATTACCAGGCAGAACTGACAATGCCATAAAAAATCATTGGAATAGCACTATGAGAAGAAAATATGAAACTGAGGAAGGTAGATCCACGAGCACAAGAGGTTTGTATCAATTCATTCATTCTTTAATCAATAATAATATATTTTTATGTATAAATAAAGATTATTAAAAATGAATCATTTAATAAAAATAAGTATTTTTAATAGGGAGAGGTAGAAGAAAAGCTATAGAAACATCTTCAGTATCCTCTAAAGATAATCTTTGTCCAGAAGAGGATATCTCCAGTCAGAATTGTTTAAAATCAACGAATAATGACAATGCCTCAACTTTGACTAATGTACAGCCACATACTCTGGGCATTGATCAATTGCAATGGACCAGAACTTGGGATAATCAACAGAATAGTCAGACTTACCAAAGTCTTTTGAATCTGAATGAACGGTCGCATAATAATGAATCTCGACTAAACTCCCCTTCAAAAACGGGAAGTTCTTTTTCTAGAGTCAAGACTGCACAAATGTCACCTTTCACAAAGTATGATATGAATAAAATAAAAAAAATATAAAATTTTTCAAAGATAATTGAAAAGAATTATTTATTAACGTGTTATAGGTATTTCGACTTGCAAATACAGGGTGAAGCGACTAGTTCAAAAAATTCAGAAATCAGATTAATGCCTATGCCAGATTTAGAAGAGATTCCTGGTGCTGTAACGGAGAAAGAGAGGAGTAGTCCACCCCCAATTTTACGTCGACGTAAAAATACTCAAGTTCTTCAACAAAGGACAGAAACTCCTGATAATGTGAGCCAGTCTGATTATTTAATAATAAATCAACAGGAACAACAGACTGGTGAGACCACCCCATCCACACCTATTAAACAATTGCCATTCAGCCCGTCACAGTTTTTGAACAGTCTGAGTCCCGAGACATCTTCCTGGCCACGAGCGAGTACTCCTAAAGGCAGTAGCCCTGGTCCACTCACCACACCACAACCTACTGGTCTTCGACGAAGTCAAAACGGTATATATTTTTATTTATTTTTTGATCTGTACAATTTTTATTTATAATAGTACATTATTATTATTATTATAGATGGCAATACGCCGAGGACACCAACACCGTTCAAAAATGCATTAGCAGAATTAGAACGGCGCAGCGGCGCGACTACTCAGTTACCTGCTACCCCCAGTCGTTTAGATGCTCTAACCGAATCATCAAACAGGAAACCGATCGTGAAAGTTTAGTAGGAACTAGTACTATTCTTCAAGATTCTGGTTACAGTACAATTAGACGACGGGGTAAAGAGAATAGTGCTCCTGGCGGAAAGAGAGCACGCAAAGCACTCTCTCAAGCTTGGGCAAATGCTTCTCAAGATAATTCCGAAATGAGTTTCGTTGTAGAAACACCCGTAAGTTGAATATGAATATTTAAAGATATTATAAGATTAGAAATTATATCATTTAATCTATTTATTTATTTCATTTTATATTATAGAGTAAAAGTTTGGACACATCGGTATTATTTTCACCGGCATCCATGGCGTTGGAAGACAGTTTCTTAACAGCAGGGACTAGTCCCATAAAGGTAGAGAATGTCCATACTCAAACGTATATTCAAACTCAACCAGCCCTATCCTGGTATTATTCCCGTACCAATCGCCTTTAGACACGCTAGCCGGCCTTTTCTTAACTTTCTTATTTTAACACTATCTTTTTCTTTTAAATTCTTCTGTTAAATATATTTTAATCATTTCATATAATCATTTTAATATTGTCTGCCTTTCGATTAACATTAAATATGCCTTGTTCTTTTTCTTCTTTTTTTTCAATCCCCCTTTTTTCTTCATAATTTATGACTAAATGTTAAACGACGTGCGAGAAATTAACCTTGTTTTTATATCTATTAGACTGGTTATGATTATCAATTCCTTTTTGTCGACCCGGTATCATTCAATCCAAAGATTATTAGTGACTTTTTTTTTTCTTTTCTTAGATCTTAAGTATATAATTATAAAGTAACATGACTAACATTAATAATGGTATAGAATATCGGTTTAATCTATTTATATTAATTAATTTATTTTTTTTTTTGTCAACGCATATGCTTTTCGTGTTAAATTATTTATGTTTAATAATATTTTATGCTTGAAACGAAACTTATGATCATGAATTAAGAAACAAAATGTTTCATATTATTTGTCATTAATTAAATCACTAAGATAAAAATGACCACAAAAAAAGCCAACACTATGAGGTACTTAAGTTATATTTTTGCGCGTATTATAATATTTATTTCTGGTCGACATTTATTGTCTATCTTTTTATTGAAAATATCCGTACTCTTCGTTATTAAACGTACATATTATTTGATGTGTAGAGATGATTATATTTCGTTTTTGTTTGCTTCATTTTTCTTTTTCTACGATTAATTTTACAAAAATTAAATTATGTTTTATTGTCATTTTATTTTTTTTGTTGATTAATCATATAAATTATTCGTGTAAATTATTCGTGTACATTAATTTGATATTTTGGAAGCGAAGTGAACTGAAAACATATATTTATTCCGGTGAAAAACCAAATTATTTATTGTTATAAGACTTATTTATTATTATAAAACTTATTTATGATACACATTTAAAAAAAAAAGAATAGTAATATTAAAATTTTTTAATAACAATATTATTAAGAATTCCTGATTTTAAAACATTTGTAAATTATTATAAGAATCCTGTGCACAACAGGTTAAACATGTGTACTTATGTAAATCTGTAATAAAGTATTAGTATTTAAGTACCATCGTACAATTATTTAATATTTAATTACAAAATATCATTAATTATATTAAATGTTTGCAGTTTCAATTTCGCCTCCTTAGTCATTTATATATGTTTCAGTAATAATAAAAATAATAATAATCTAAACGAAAAAAATGGATCACCGGTGATCCACATGGCACGAAACGTAATACTTATATAACCTAATAACTCCTTTGCCCTGCGATTAAATATCCTCAAATCATAAATATCCCGTCTATAATTATATATAATATATCTATATGGATATATACATATAAAACGTTTATTTATTATTATATATTAATATATATACATATTACATATATATTTTTTTAATTTCTTCGATAATGTTGAGTTGCCGCATGTTTATAACTAACTCAAACGTAAAACATCCTTATACAGGCCTGGCCTAGCGTACCAAAGTATCTTCCTTGTACTATCCTGTCCCGAAAATCCAAAGAACAATTTTGAGCAGTAGTTCCACTGGTCGCGAATGCTCCTCTTCGAAACCGATTCGCAATCATGCAAAGAAAAAAAGAAAGAAAAAAGAAAATACAAAAAGGCCTAGTCATTTTATAATGAAACGTGATAGTTTTTTTTTTTTTTTTGCATGTATATGAAATGTGTTCTAAAAAGAAAATATGAACGCATAAAACGGACAAGCTCACAATATTGTTTCGTAATTTTTCTATTTCTGTCTAATTATATCCTTTCTATCTCCATTTCTTTCTCTCTTTATAACTCCTCTTTTTCTTTTTTTTCTAAGCCTTTCAATTATGTCTCTAAAAACTGAAATTTTGATCTTAATATCATATATTTTTTTTTCTGATAAAAAGAAAAAAAAATAATTTTCAAATGAGCATTTTCTATATGCGTTCTTTTTACTCGCCGGCTGTAGCTAGTGTGTCTATCCTTTCCAGACTTCCCACGACTTTGTGTCCGTACAACGGAAGCCTAATGCCAAGAGAGCGATCACATTCGACGCATTCGACAGTCCCTGTTGTATCCTCAGCCCCTTGCCGCTCAGGCCAGTCAAACGTGCTAAGGTGAGTTGTTTTTTTAATTCTAGAATCGGTTCACTGTATCTCCTTAATGGGGTTGGCCGCATTAGAGATTCGATATTTTCGTGTCAGATTTCTTTTCGCATCGCTCCAATGCTTAATTTTCGTATACTGGAAAAACATCTGTTGCTATAGATCAAATTTCATTGCAGTATTTGATCTGTTGAAATATTAAATAGCTTGTGCAGGATAATAGTTATTAAGTATATCTTATATAGTTAAAAACTATTAAATATACCTTATAGTTTATATTAAAGTTCAAGTAATTTAATCTTATACATATAAAGTTTAAGAGAATTTAGCTTATAATTTTTTAAGTATGAGACTGTTTTAAATATTTGATCTCATCATATCCTAAATATTGCTGTATCATTTTATGCCATTCATAGTTTGATTTTCATTCTTGATTTGTTCTAATTGCAGATACATTTAGAAGCACAATG